GGCGCGGGTCCCCTCCCCCATCCCCGGGGTGCAGCGCCTCCCTTCCGGGCACAGCTGGCCAGCGGTGCTGGGTTCTCCCCTCCATCCCCGGGGTGCAGCGCCTCCCTTCCGGGCACAGCTGGCCAGCGGTGCTGGGTTCTCCCCTCCATCCCCGGGGTGCAGCGCCTCCCTTCCGGGCACAGCTGGGCAGCGGTGCTGGTTCCCCCTCCATCCCTGGGGTGCAACGGCCCCTCCTTTCCAGGCACAGCTGGCCAGTGGTGCTGGATTCCCTCCTCCATGCCCGGGGTTCAACGGCCCCTCCCTTCCGGGCACAGTTGGCCAACAGTATGTGGTTTGCCCCTTCCACCAGGGCACAGGCTGGCTTCCTGCTACCCCTGGGGTGCAGCGCACCTGACCCTCCCCTCTAGGCACAGCTGGCCATGGGTGCTGCCGACCCCAAGTTTATTTCCATGGATTTAATGCTGGGTCGGTTTTGTTAATGTGAATACTAACGGGGAAGCTCAGACGCACCAGTTCAGTTCCTCCTCCAGCTGTCCAGCTTCCTGTCATTGATCTTGGTGGCCCGCGTGTGTGCAGAGGGATGGCAGCGTGGGGGTGACTTGTTGTGCCTGCAGCTGCACTCAAGGCAGAAAGCCAGGTGCTGTGGGTGAGGCTTTTAGAGGGCTCTGCGTAGCCCAGGGTGCCCCAGAATAAGCTAGGAATGCTGCTGGCCACGGTTCCAGGGGGCTCTGGGCAGCATCGGAGCCTGGGTCCAGACAGGGATCCTGATATTACCTGACAGAGAGTCGGGAGGGAGATAGTGCTGTGGATATCAAGGGTGCTGGAAGCGGCTGACTGTCAGGAATGGGGACCGGGGGTGTCTCTGATCTCTGTCAAACCCAGAAATTGGAACTTGGTGGCATTAAAGCAACTTTTACACTTGTGACTGGACTTTGCTTGATACAGATATGGGCGTGAGGTGGGTGATTTCCCCTTTATGTAGTCCAGCTGTACTTCATCACTTTGGACCTGCTATATTCCCCACCCCTTCGTGTGTATTCGGTCGTTTGCCTTTTTCCTTCTTTGCTTGGATCTGAACGGAAATCAGTGGAAGCTAGAAATAGAAGCGAGATTGCAGACTAATAGCTGGGGAGGAATAGAAGTGCCTACTTGGAGACTGAGTTTTATGTTTTGTCCTTGATGGGAAAGGCCCTAGTCTTACGATGTGGGAATCTATGGCCCTTATTCTAGCCCCATCTAATCTTTGGGCTTGATTCGCCACTCATTAGACTGCTGTAAATCAAGTGACCCAGCTGAAGCCAGTGAAGTTACTCTGGTTCCAAACCGGTGTAGAGAGACTCTATATTTATACTGCAACCATCAAAGGGTTAGCTCAGTGCCTCACTACCCTATATCAGGCTGATGAAATGAGACGTTTGCAAGTTCTGGCTACAGTTGGGACATCAGATCTGTAATATTAGGTCTTTAAATAACTGCATGGATTTAGCATGGAAATTTAGAAGGGAGCAGAAATGTGATAAAAGATAATCTGTATCAACTGCCATTTGTAGTAGGTCATGTATCTTCTTTTCATGCATCTAGGCCCTGGATGATGAGACCTTTATGTAGCCCAGCCCTTCACCAGTGGATCAGCAGCAGGTATGCTATGCCTAAAAGGGCTGGTAAATCCTTTTGAAGTTGTAATTCTCTTCTGTGGCTAATTCCTAGAGTGAGGTTCTCGAACTGTGGTCTGCGGACCACCAGTGGTTCACAAGCTCCTCTCAGGTGGTCCGCGGATAGTTCCCTCTAAGGTGCGTGCCTGGGCAGCCACACACGAGAGAATGAAGGGCCACCCACCTAATTAGTGGAGCCACGCAGGCTTGGCCTGGACCCTGGAGAAGATGTGCAGGTAAGGTGAGGTGGAGGCCTTGGGGGGAATAGGGGGTAGGTGGGAGGGGGCAGTGGGGTGAGAAAAGGGGGTGGGGGGCATTTGGGACGTGCAGGGCTGCAGCGGCGAGAGAAAATGGCAACTTTCCCCAGCTCCAGGACTGCGGCTGCTGGGGAGAGACGGCCCTCTTTCCCAGCCCCAGCTCGGGGCTGCCGGGGCGAGGGAGAGAGGAAGAGACCCCCCTCCATCCCAGTTCCAGCTTGGGGGCTGTTGCGGAGAGGGAGAGACCCCCCTCTATCCCAGTCCCAGCTCGGGGCTGCTGTGGTGGAGGAGAGAGGGAGAGACCCCCCTCCTTCCCAGCCCCAGCTTGGGGGCTGCTGTGGCAGGGTAGAGACAGCACATCCATCGCATTAGAAGAGTAAGACTACTGATATTAAAATATGAGTTAAAAGCAACAGAGGGTCCTGTGGCACCTTTAAGACTAACAGAAGTATTGGGAGCATAAGCTTT